TAATGTTGAGGTACGTCCCTGGACCCTTATGTACCTCTGTAATGTTGATGTACAGTCCCTGGACCCCTTATGTACCTTTGTAATGTTTTAGGTTTCAGTCCCTGGATCCATTATGTACCTCTGTAATGTTAAGGTACAGTCCCTTTACCCATTATGTACCTTTGTAATGTTCAGGTACAGTCCCTGGACATATTATGTACCTATGTAATGTTGAGGTACAGTCCCTGGACCCATCATGTACCTCTGTAATGTTGAGGTACAGTCCCTCGACCCATTATGTACCTCTAATGTTGAGGTACAGTCCCTGAACTCATTATGTACCTCTGTAATGTTGAGGTACAGTCCCTGGACCCATGTACCTCTGTAATGTTGAGGTACAGTCCCTGGACCCATTATGTACCTCCAATGTTGAGGTACAGTCCCTGGACCCATTATGTACCTCTAATGTTGAGGTACAGTCCCTGGACCCATTATGTACCTCTGTAATGTTAAGGTACAGCCCCTGGACCCATTATGTACCTCTAATGTTGACGTACAGTCCCTGGGCCCATTATGTACCTCTGTAATGTTGAGGTACAGTCCCTGGACCATAATGTACCTCTGTAATGTTAAGGCACAGTCCCTGGACCCATTATGTATCTCTAATGTTGAGGTACAGTCCCTGGACATATTATGTACCTCTAATGTTGAGGTACAGTCCCTGGACCCATTATGTACCTCTGTAATGTTGAGGTACAGTCCCTTGGCCCATTATGTACCTCTGTAATGTTGAGGTACAGTCCCTGGACCCATAATGTATCTCTGTAATGTTGACGTACAGTCCCTGGGCCCATTATGTACCTCTGTAATGTTGAGGTACAGTCCCTGGACCCATAATGTACCTCTGTAATGTTGAGGTACAGTCCCTGGACCTATTATGTACCTCTAATATTGAGGTACAGTCCCTGGACCCATTATGTACCTCTAATGTTGAGGTACAGTACCTGGACCCATTATGTCCCTCTAATCTTTTGACTACCTCCCACAGGATGGGTATGGGGTGACTACCCCCCACAGGATGGGTATGGGGTGACTACCCCCAACAGGATGGGTATGGGGTGACTTCCCCCACAGGATGGGTATGGGGTAACTACCACCCACAGGATGGGTATGGGGTGACTACCACCCACAGGATGGGTATGGGGTAACTACCCCCACAGGATGGGTATGGGGTAACTACCCCCACAGGATGGGTATGGGGTAACTACCACCCACAGGATGGGTATGGGGTAACTACCACCCACAGGATGGGTATGGAGTAACTACCCCCCACAGGATGGGTATGGGGTGACTACCCCCACAGGATGGGTATGGAGTAACTACCCCCCACAGGATGGGTATGGAGTAACTACCCCCCACAGGATGGGTATGGGGTAACTACCACCCACAGGATGGGTATGGGGTGACTACCACCCACAGGATGGGTATGGGGTAACTACCCCCACAGGATGGGTATGGGGTAACTACCCCCACAGGATGGGTATGGGGTAACTACCACCCACAGGATGGGTATGGGGTAACTACCACCCACAGGATGGGTATGGAGTAACTACCCCCCACAGGATGGGTATGGGGTGACTACCCCCACAGGATGGGTATGAGGTAACTACCACCCACAGGATGGGTATGGAGTAACTACCCCCCACAGGATGGGTATGGGGTGACGACCCCCACAGGATGGGTATGGGGTGACTACCCCCACAGGATGGGTATGGGGTAACTACCACCCACAGGATGGGTATGGGGTAACTACCACCCACAGGATGGGTATGGGGTGACTACCCCCCATAGGATGGGTATGGGGTACATTCAACGGGTCATCCTCGTTGTAACAACCTGATACAATGTTATTTTTCCTAACTTAATATTTAACATAGTAAAACCATCTTTATTTTCTTTAACATTAACATAACTAACAATTTGTTTACGTGGACGTCTATATCTGGATCACAAGGCGCAACTTACTTGGATCAAGAGACCTTCACTAATTTCTCAGTAGTGGAAAAAAATAGGTGAGAACTACATAGAGCATTATGTAAGACCTAGTGTGAGAGTTATTGTTTGATCCGAGGAAGGAGAGCAGCTCCAGTTCCTCGCACCAAGCCCCCCCCCCAAGACACCAAAGAAAATTAAGATTTAAATAATTTAGTGACAAAACTGGTGGTGGAGACCAGGAGCTGCAGCTCAACTCTGCTGTTGTACTGACAAACACGTCAACAGGCAATACTTAAATTATTTAGGTGTATTAAGAGGCTGAGGAAGCGGTAAAGCCGGCGGGGCAGCAGGAGGAGGAGCAGCGCGTCTCTCCTGTACGACCAATGAAGGTCAACTGACCTTTAGTGACCTTAAGGTTGGTCACTGTCCTGACCTTCACTATAACACCATCACTGACAACCTGACTAACTCTGACTACCACCACTAGATGGCACTACTACACCGTCACTGTCAGTACTACTCGTGGTGGAGCGCTCAACCCGTGGGGGTCAAGGACCACCTGGGAGGTTAAGTTCACTCCCAGGTGGCATAGATCACATTCCTTAGATCAAGAGACCCTCACCACCACCTTCAATGTACCTCACTCCAGGGCACCACTCTCACCGCCAGAGTACTAGTAGTACCACTGTACCACTAGTACTCTACATGAAGGCCAGATTATTGTACCACTAGTACTCTACATGAAGGCCAGATTATTGTACCACTAGTACTCTACATGAAGGCCAGATTATTGTACCACTAGTACTCTACATGAAGGCCAGATTATTGTACCACTAGTACTCTACATGAAGGCCAGATTATTGTACCACTAGTACTCTACATGAAGGGCAGATTATTGTACCACTAGTACTCTACATGAAGGGCAGATTATTGTACCACTAGTACTCTACATGAAGGGCAGATTATTGTACCACTAGTACTCTACATGAAGGCCAGATTATTGTACCACTAGTACTCTACATGAAGGCCAGATTATTGTACCACTAGTACTCTACATGAAGGGCAGATTATTGTACCACTAGTACTCTACATGAAGGGCAGATTATTGTACCACTAGTACTCTACATGAAGGCCAGATTATTATACCACTAGTACTCTACATGAAGGCCAGATTATTGTACCACTAGTACTCTACATGAAGGGCAGATTATTATACCACTAGTACTCTACATGAAGGGCAGATTATTATACCACTAGTACTCTACATGAAGGGCAGATTATTGTACCACTAGTACTCTACATGAAGGGCAGATTATTATACCACTAGTACTCTACATGAACAGATTATTGAACCATTAGTACTCTACATGAAGGCCAGATTATTGTACCACTAATACTCTACATGAAGGGCAGATTATTGTACCACTAGTACTCTACATGAAGGGCAGATTATTGTACCACTAGTACTCTACATGAAGGCCAGATTATTATACCACTAGTACTCTACATGAAGGCCAGATTATTGTACCACTAGTACTCTACATGAAGGCCAGATTATTGTACCACTAGTACTCTACATGAAGGCCAGATTATTGTACCACTAGTACTCTACATGAAGGCCAGATTATTATACCACTAGTACTCTACATGAAGGCCAGATTATTGTACCACTAGTACTCTACATGAAGGGCAGATTATTATACCACTAGTACTCTACATGAAGGGCAGATTATTGTACCACTAATACTCTACATGAAGGACAGATTATTGTACCTCTAGTACTCTACATGAACAGATTATTGAACCATTAGTACTCTACATGAAGGGAAGATTATTAAACCATTAGTACTCTACATGAAGGGAAGATTATTGTACCATTAGTACTCTGCATGAAGGGCAGATTATTGTACCACTAGTACTCTACATGAAGGCCAAATTATTGTACCACTAGTACTCTACATGAAGGCCTGGAGTTTACCTGGAGAGAGCTCCGGGGGTCAACGCCCCCGCGGCCCGGTCTGTGACCAGGCCTCCTGGTGGATCAGAGCCTGATCAACCAGGCTGTTACTGCTGGCTGCACGCAAACCAACGTACGAGCCACAGCCCGGCTGGTCAAGTACCTACTTTAGGTGCTTGTCCAGTGCCAGCTTGAAGACTGCCAGGGGTCTGTTGGTAATCCCCCTTATGTATGCTGGGAGGCAGCTGAACAGTCTCGGGCCCCTGACACTTATTGTATGGTCTCTTAACGTGCTAGTGACACCCCTGCTAGTGACACCCCTGCTAGTGACACCTCTGCTTTTCATTGTATTAATGTTGCATCGTCTGCCAAGTCTTTTGCTTTCGTAGTGAGTGATTTTCGTGTACAAGTTCGGTACTAGTCCCTCTAGGATTTTCCAGGTGTATATAATCATGTATCTCTCCCGCCTGCGTACTTGTTTGCTTGCTTGCTGGCTGGCTTATTTGCTTGCTTGCTTGCATGTTTGCTTGTTTACTTGCTTTATTATTTGTTTGCTTGCTTGATCACTTGCTTACTCTTCTGTTGGGGTTCAGGGCCACTGACAGCATACACTGTATCGAGCCCGGCCGTCCAGTGCTAGGAGAGGGAATATCGACCAAAGTGGAAGAATGTCTTGACTAATATTTTATGTCTCTGATACGTCCTGAAGCCAGCAGGAAGGAGCAGGTACAAGCCAATATCTCCTGACGGTCCAGAGGGCGAAACCCCTCCCCGTTGAGGACAGGTAGAGTGAAAGTGTGCACCCCAAGTGTGCGCAAGGCCGCACAGAGAGTAGTCCGTGCAGAGTGATAACGTGGGCACCACAACAGGAAGTGTTCCACCGTCTCAGGCTGTGAGGGACACCACGGGCAGTACAGAGAGTCCGTCATCCGAAGGCGATATAGATGAGCCGCCAGTCGCGAGTGCCCGACTCAAGGCGAGTCAGTTCAACGTCCACCGAGCGGTTGGGATGGTGAGCCCAAGGGCAGGGGCCATTAAAAGTTCGGACAGAGCCCAACGCCGAAGAAGAGGGGGAGTGTGCAAGGCCCACTTGCCACTGATGACGGATTCCCTTCCAGACAGCCCTTGTGAAATCACTGTGGCCCAGGGCAAGAGGGGTAACAGTAGGAAGTGTGTGCGCGAGGGAGGCCGCCCGATCTGCCACTTCATTTCCCCAGATTCCAACATGGGCGGGAACCCACTGAAGGAAGATGCTCCAACCTGGGCTCCGCAAGAAGCGCAGGAGGAGAGATTGTGTCCGACGTACGAGGACGAGCAGTGATCGTGGACGGGCAGAGCACAAAAGTGCCAGGGAAGATTGGGAATCAGAGAAGAGGACCAGTGGTTGTGAGGGAATGTGATGTAGGACAAAAGCCAGAGCCTGGTGAATGGCGAAGAGCTCCCCTGCCAGAACAGAATGAGCAGGGTCCAACGTTTAACACAGGGAGATGGTATAGACCTTGGTAATAAATACGTGTCTTTCTAAACTAACTCAGGGAGAGATTAGTGAAGAAGGCGGCAGATGATGTAGAAGGGGGGACCGTGTCCAACCATCCGTGTAGACGGAGAATGAAGAACCATATATAAGATAAGATAAGATTTCGTTCGGATTTTTAACCCAGGAGGGTTAGCCACCCAGGATAACCCAAGAAAGTCAGTGCGTCATCGAGGACTGTCTAACTTATTTCCATTGGGGTCCTTAATCTTGTCTCCCAGGATGCGACCCACACCAGTCGACTAACACCCAGGTACCTATTTGCTGCTAGGTGAACAGGACAATAGGTGTAAGGAAACGTGTCGGAATTTCCACCCGCCGGGAATCGAACCCGGGCCCTCCGTGTGTGAAGCGGGAGTTTTAGCCACCAGACCACCGGGCCACAGAGCGAAACTTTTCAAACACAAATGCAACTAATTAAGGGGGTTCCCTGTTCCTGTAATGCCAATCCAGGTGGATGTATCGTGTCAGGTCCAGCCAGGGGGGTGCTTGTTTGTTGCTTGCTTGCTTGTTGCTTGCTTGCTTGTTGCTTGCTTGCTTGTTGCTTGTTGCTTGCTTGCTTGCTTGCTTGTTGCTTGATTGCTTGTTGCTTGCTTGCTTGCTTGTTGCTTGCTTGCTTGTTGCTTGATTGCTTGTTGCTTGCTTGCTTGTTGCTTGCTTGCTTGTTGCTTACTTACATGAGTTAGTCTGGTTCAGTAGAGTGTAAGCCGTCACTGGTCCTCATAAACCTACAACAAGCAAGTGACTGGTAATATAATCTGTACAGCCCTTGTGGCTTAGCGCTTCTTTTTGATTATAATGGTAATATAATATTTAGCACAACATGATACAACTTAACATAAGAACATAGTTCACACCTGTGACATACTATTATATACAAAGATCTTTGTTTGGTGACCATTTCCGGCAAATTAGTTCAGTTTTGTCCCAGGATGTGACCCACACCAGTCCACTAACACCCAGGATGTGACCCACACCAGTCCACTAACACCCAGGATGTGACCCACACCAGTCCACTAACACCCAGGATGTGACCCACACCAGTCCACTAACACCCAGGATGTGACCCACACCAGTCCACTAACACCCAGGATGTGACCCACACCAGTCCACTAACACCCAGGATGTGACCCACACCAGTCCACTAACACCCAGGATGTGACCCACACCAGTCCATTAACACCCAGGATGTGACCCACACCAGTCCACTAACACCCAGGATGTGATCCACACCAGTCCATTAACACCCAGGATGTGACCCACACCAGTCCATTAACACCCAGGATGTGACCCACACCAGTCCACTAACACCCAGGATGTGATCCACACCAGTCCATTAACACCCAGGATGTGACCCACACCAGTCCATTAACACCCAGGATGTGACCCACACCAGTCCATTAACACCCAGGATGTGACCCACACCAGTCCATTAACACCCAGAATGTGACCCACACCAGTCCACTAACACCCAGGATGTGACCCACACCAGTCCACTAACACCCAGGATGTGACCCACACCAGTCCATTAACACCCAGGATGTGACCCACACCAGTCCATTAACACCCAGGATGTGACCCACACCAGTCCACTAACACCCAGGATGCCACCCACACCAGTCCACTAACACCCAGGTACCTACTTACTGCTAGGTAACCAAGGACAACAGGTGTGGGGAAACACGTCCAATATTTTCACCCTTGCCGGGGATCGACCCCTGGACCTAAGTGTGTCAGCTGAGTGCTCTAGCAACCCAGCTACAGGACAATAATACACAAATTATCATACATTAATAACATATGTGTAAATTATCAAAGATAATTCCATAAATGTTTGACAAAGTGACTTGTTTCCATTGTGGTTTTTGTAATATTATCTGAACCTAATGTCAGTACCTGACCAACCGGGCTGTGGTTCGTATGTCGGTTTGTGTGCGGCCAACACTAACAGCCTGGTTGATCAGGCCCTGATCCACCCCAAAGCATTGACCCCTGAAGCCCTCTTCAGGTATACTCCCGGTAATTAACTATAAGAGTTAATAAACAACCTCAACTACTGCGTAATAGAATTTATATTTCTCTCCATAGAAGCATCAGGGAAGAGAGAGGTGAAGGTTTATAAACTAAAAGAGGAGGCAGTTAGGGTAAGATATAAACAGCTATTGGAGGATAGATGGGCTAATGAGAGCATAGGCAATGGGGTCGAAGAGGAATGGGGTAGGTTTAAAAATGTAGTGTTGGAGTGTTCAGCAGAAGTTTGTGGTTACAGGAGGGTGGGTGCAGGAGGGAAGAGGAGCGATTGGTGGAATGATGATGTAAAGAGAGTAGTAAGGGAGAAAAAGTTAGCATATGAGAGGTTTTTACAAAGTAGAAGTGATGCAAGGAGGGAAGAGTATATGGAGAAAAAGAGAGAGGTTAAGAGAGTGGTGAAGCAATGTAAAAAGAGAGCAAATGAGAGAGTGGGTGAGCTGTTATCAACAAATTTTGTTGAAAATAAGAAAAAGTTTTGGAGTGAGATTAACAAGTTAAGGAAGCCTAGAGAACAAATGGATTTGTCAGTTAAAAATAGGAGAGGAGAGTTATTAAATGGAGAGTTAGAGGTATTGGGAAGATGGAGGGAATATTTTGAGGAATTGTTAAATGTTGATGAAGATAGGGAAGCTGTGATTTCGTGTATAGGGCAAGGAGGAATAACATCTTGTAGGAGTGAGGAAGAGCCAGTTGTGAGTGGGGGGGAAGTTCGTGAGGCAGTAGGTAAAATGAAAGGGGGTAAGGCAGCCGGGATTGATGGGATAAAGATAGAAATGTTAAAAGCAGGTGGGGATATAGTTTTGGAGTGGTTGGTGCAATTATTTAATAATGTATGGAAGAGGGTAAGGTACCTAGGGATTGGCGGAGAGCATGCATAGTTCCTTTGTATAAAGGCAAAGGGGATAAAAGAGAGTGCAAAAATTATAGGGGGATAAGTCTGTTGAGTGTACCTGGTAAAGTGTATGGTAGAGTTATAATTGAAAGAATTAAGAGTAAGACGGAGAATAGGATAGCAGATGAACAAGGAGGCTTTAGGAAAGGTAGGGGGTGTGTGGACCAGGTGTTTACAGTGAAACATATAAGTGAACAGTATTTAGATAAGGCTAAAGAGGTCTTTGTGGCATTTATGGATTTGGAAAAGGCGTATGACAGGGTGGATAGGGGGCAATGTGGCAGATGTTGCAAGTGTATGGTGTAGGAGGTAGGTTACTGAAAGCAGTGAAGAGTTTTTACGAGGATAGTGAGGCTCAAGTTAGAGTATGTAGAAAAGAGGGAAATTTTTTCCCAGTAAAAGTAGGCCTTAGACAAGGATGTGTGATGTCACCGTGGTTGTTTAATATATTTATAGATGGGGTTGTAAGAGAAGTAAATGCGAGGGTCTTGGCAAGAGGCGTGGAGTTAAAAGATAAAGAATCACACACAGGGTGGAGTTGTCACAGCTGCTCTTTGCTGATGACACTGTGCTCTTGGGAGATTCTGAAGAGAAGCTGCAGAGATTGGTGGATGAATTTGGTAGGGTGTGCAAAAGAAGAAAATTAAAGGTGAATACAGGAAAGAGTAAGGTTATGAGGATAACAAAAAGATTAGGTGATGAAAGATTGAATATCAGATTGGAGGGAGAGAGTATGGAGGAGGTGAACGTATTCACATATTTGGGAGTGGACGTGTCAGCGGATGGGTCTATGAAAGATGAGGTGAATCATAGAATTGATGAGGGAAAAAAGAGTGAGTGGTGCACTTAGGAGTCTGTGGAGACAGAGAACTTTGTCCTTGGAGGCAAAGAGGGGAATGTATGAGAGTATAGTTTTACCAACGCTCTTATATGGGTGTGAAGCATGGGTGATGAATGTTGCAGCGAGGAGAAGGCTGGAGGCAGTGGAGATGTCATGTCTGAGGGCAATGTGTGGTGTGAATATAATGCAGAGAATTCGTAGTTTGGAAGTTAGGAGGAGGTGCGGGATTACCAAAACTGTTGTCCAGAGGGCTGAGGAAGGGTTGTTGAGGTGGTTCGGACATGTAGAGAGAATGGAGCGAAAGAGAATGACTTCAAGAGTGTATCAGTCTGTAGTGGAAGGAAGGCGGGGTAGGGGTCGGCCTAGGAAGGGTTGGAGGGAGGGGGTAAGGGAGGTTTTGTGTGCGAGGGGCTTGGACTTCCAGCAGGCATGCGTGAGCGTGTTTGATAGGAGTGAATGGAGACAAATGGTTTTTAATACTTGACGTGCTGTTGGAGTGTGAGCAAAGTAACATTTATGAAGGGATTCAGGGAAACCGGCAGGCCGGACTTGAGTCCTGGAGATGGGAAGTACAGTGCCTGCACTCTGAAGGAGGGGTGTTAATGTTGCAGTTTAAAAACTGTAGTGTAAAGCACCCTTCTGGCAAGACAGTGATGGAGTGAATGATGGTGAAAGTTTTTCTTTTTCGGGCCACCCTGCCTTGGTGGGAATCGGCCAGTGTGATAATAAAAAAAAAAAAATAAATAATTTCTCTCCATCTCAATTTTCAATACCACTCATGTTTATGTATAAATTATGAATAAATAAATAAGAATGTATTAATCAATAAGTAAATCCTTTGATTGACGGGGCAACTATATGACTCATGAAACTGTAATAACATGATTGCAAAGAGACCACTGAATGGGTGGGGTTTGAACTCATGGCCAGTGTGTAAGCCAGTGGGCCAGCTGGCCACTAGGAGATTCATTAAATTAAGTATATTTCTGTACACCATAGGGAAGTTGGCATGGACCCCACACTGACCAGCTGGTCAAGTGTCTTACACATTGGCCTGGAGTTTTAGGACTCACTGGCCATGGGGTCAAATCTACCCCTTTCGTGGTTTGGGCATTACGTTCTTTGTAGTACAGTTTTTCTTTTTTTTTTTTGACATTATTTTGTGTATGTTTTTACTAAGGAGTTGTGATAAGATTTTGTTCGGATTTTTAAACCCGGAGGGTTAGCCACCCAGGATATCCCAAGAAAGTCAGTGCGTCATTGAGGACTGTCTAACTTATTTCCATTGGGGTCCTTAATCTTGTCCCCCAGGATGCGACCCACACCAGTCGACTAACACCCAGGTACCTATTTGCTGCTAGGTGAACAGGACAACAGGCGTGAGGAAACGTGTCAAAATGTTTCCACCCGCTGGGAATCGAACCTGGACTCTCTGTGTGTGAAGCGGTAGCTTTAGCCACCGGGCCTCCTCCATACTTGCCTTTACTTCCAAAGCAATGATTGTAATTATGACCATAATTTTTAAAGGGGTGGACCAGTAAGTCAGCGGAAGGCCTCAGTCAGATGACCAAAAGCTCTAGTGGCAGGTCATCATGTGACTAAGACCCATGTCAGAAATCACTTGTTCTGTTTACCTGGAGTATACCTGGAGAGGTTTTGGGGGTCAGCGCCTCTGTGGACCAATCTGTGACCAGGCCTGTTTGCTGACAAACCTTACCTACCATACTACCGGCGGTATTTGAACCCATGGTCTGGAGTTTTGAGACTCTGACCGCGGGTTCAAATCCCGCCAGTGGTATGGTTTGTTTGCAATCATGTCATTACGATTTCGTGAGTCAAACCTTACCTAACCCAAGACACACATCTAACAGTGGCTGAGTAAGGTTATGCTAGGTTATTTTAAGTTGGGCTGAGTGGGTTTCATTTGGTTAGGTTACATTTTATACACTTATTTAACAAAATAATAGAGAATAAAAAGGCACAATAATATCTCAACTATAAAACAAGCTTAAAATTGCACAAGTTAAACTATAATAATACAATAGCCAAAATTCACTGAATATCAGGCAAAGTTTTATCCTATTTACTCCTGTGTTACATTCATCACCTATCATTCTGTAACTTAAACACTAGTAGCTGTTGTATTATACAATTCAATATTTTTAGATTCAGCATCTTAACAACAAGTTTATATTTCAGAAATGGCAACTTCAGTAAAGAAGATCCAAACTCTGCGAACTCTTATTCGAGAGCTGCGTAGATCTCTTGCAGATAATGAGAAGCTGAGACACTCTGCATCCTTCTCATATATAATGAAGCAGTACCGCTGTAATGCTCTGACTGATGAGCAGTATTGCCGCCAGCAGGAAGAGATGGCGCATCTGGCCAACACTTGTGCTACATACTTGGAGTCCAGCAGAAAGTAAGCAGTTGCTCTGAATAATACAGACACACCTCGTTAATATGGCGTTTGCTTTACAACACTTCACTAATACACTTCTTTTCAATTATACAGTGGACCCCCGCCTTATGATCAGCTCCCAACTCGACCAATTATGTAAGTGTATTTTTGTAACTGCTTTTGTACGTGTATTTTTGGGGGTCTGAAACGGACTAATCTAATTCACAATATTCCTTATGGGAACAAATTCGGTCTATACCGGCACCCAAACAGACCTCTGGAATGAAATAATATCGTAAGGCGGGGGTCCACTGTATTTGTGTTCAGTGCTTGCAGTGCTGTTTATAACAACATTATCAATTAGTTGTTGCTGTTTCCTTTGATTTCCTTCTTTGTGTAGATCAATAAACCATGTTTTAATATGTATATGTTTTAAAGTCTACATTGTTTTTCTGAATTTTTTCATTGCATTTAGTGTGTTTCACTTCCACTAACTTAGGACTGTTGTTTTCATGTCTAGTTTGTTATCCCTGACATCTTGTAGACTGGTTAATTTGTTTCAGTGCTGGGTCATTGTGTCTATCTGACGTTTTTAGGTTATCCCAGGTTCTCTACATATATGCTGCTATGTATGATAATCTATTAATTCAATTCAATTCAAGTTCATTCTCCATAAGGGTTACAATGTGGGGTTTACAGGTTTTGGGTATTGTGTGGTTTACATGTTATAAAATACTAATTACAGAGGGGGCCACTAGGACACCTAGCCTGGCTATGGCTGTGACTGTATTTGTGTATACCTGAATAAACTTGCTTGCTTGCTTACTTAGCTCATCAGAAGGTTTCAAGTGCAGTCATTGTAGGCTTCAGGGAGAGTTCCAGATTTTTTTATTCAAGCACTTAATTTTCAGTTGCTCGCCACTGATGAAATCAGCCAAAGGTGACTCCCAGAATTGTAATAACACGATTCTAAACAAACCGTGTAACAGGTAAGGTTTGAACCTATGGCAAGTGGTCTGGAGTTTTAGGACTCGCTTGTCATGGGTTCAGACTCCATCTATTCTGTTTCTTTTCAGCCAGAACTGAAGTTGTCTTGAAGAGCTTCATCAAAACTCTCAAGGGAGTTGACAGGTGATTTCCTTTGATTGGACATTTTAGTTGTGGTTGAGACTTGATCATTTGAGGGGAGCAATGATGGAGGCATCAGCCCTCAGGCTACTGAGGGAAGAAGTTGTTAAAGAGAAACTTTGTTCATCTGTAGTAATCGACATTCTGCAATTATTGTTGCTACTGGTTCTCCTATGTCTTACTTTACTTGTGGATTATCTGATTATTGCTTGAGGGCAGTGTAATAATCACCTCCATCTGTTTTAATAAGGATTCAGCTTTCCAGGCAGTGAGGTTGCAGTCAGGTGGGTGATTTAAAGCAAAATTTGGTTTGTTTTCACAGGTTTTTGTTTTAGGTTTCCATATCCCGTGTTGCTAAATGGCTCATTGTTGGAGCATTCTAGGAAACATGGTTAATAATAATAATAATAATAACAATGTTGGAGTGTGAGCAGGGTAATAATTTGTGGAGGGATTCGGGGAAACCATTTAGCCGGACTCGAGTCCTGGAGGTGGGAAGTACAATGCCTACACTTTAAAGAAGGGATTTGGGATATTTGCTGTTTGGAGAGACATCTGAACTGTCACACATGGCTGCTCTATGTATGCAAGCAATATGGCTCAAGTTGTGCTTAACTGGTAATTTCCCAATAATGATAGCTAAATCTGGAAATAACCCACTCAGAGATAAGTGTTAAAACTCCTAGTAATTTGGCTTTCCATCAAAATACAAATGTTCTTTTGCAACAACCGCTAACACTCTTTCCCTCAGTGGTGGGTAACACATTACCTCAGTAGTGCAGGGAATCATCCCTCATATTTCTCCACAAGTCTAATTTTCAAACAGGAATACAACTTTCACTGTTTACAAGAGGAAAGACGTTATATGGTCATGATGTGATGTTATTTACTTGTGTTACCCCAGTGAACAGCAGCTTCCAGGTGTTCTCTTCCGACACTCCCACCTTCTTTAACCTTTCTGTCCTACCTCATCTTGTCCAAGGGTCTAATTCACCCCCTTCCTCATTGTTTCCTTTGGTGTAAATATCTGGGGCATTTTCTCCTTCAAATATATTTAACATTAGAAGATTGGGGTGAAGATCATTGTCTGGACGTCCCGTGGCATCCACTAGAGAGTAGCTGTCTGCAGAATCAGGAGCCCATTACTAGTTGAATATGGCTGGTGCTAGAATCAACAAGACAAGGTCTTTATATATAAATAGCTCAGTTTTCTTACCTATCCATACCTTATTATCCTTAGTGACACAGTAAATGCATTTCCCAGTAAGTGCACTTCTCAAGTTCAGGTTGATCTCTGATATATTATTGGTGGGTCGTTTATATGTTTGTGTGGAGGGCCTTGAAGTGTGATTATGCACATGTACCATACATGAACTACTACTACTACTGTAACTACTATGGTGATGACTAATATTATTATTGCTATTATAGCAGGCACGAGGCAGGTCTCTAGGGCCTTTTGCATAAATATGTGTTCTGCTCATGGTCGAAATGGTGTTTGATTATATATTTAATTTTGATAGCTTTTCTTTCTCATATTTTGTGCTACCATTCACAGAATGTAAGATAGACTAGCTCTTTCTGCAGCAAAATCTATAAGAAAAAACCTAATAATTAAGGTTTTTTCTGTTCTAATCTTTTTCACATACATATTCCTATCATATTTTCCTTTTTATGTTTGACTTAACAGAAATTGTCTTTACAGATACCTCGAACTACACAATGAATACCATAGTCGTGGTGAGAGGACCGTTAAGGAAACTGCTGACATCGTAGGCTTTAAACTGCCCAATGATCCATAGTCATCAGTGTACATGATGTAATATTGTTTACAATTATGTGAGGTACATAGTTTGCTGTAAGATGTTGCAGGGATTGCATGTATATTACCCGCAAACAGTGCATGTTTTCACATATGAATCATGCAGATATGGCAACTACATTTAGTGTGTGATGAAATTATTATTACAATCAGAACTAAGTGCTAAATCCACAGTTGTACTTTTTCTCATCATCATCAGAGTGTACATGATTCCTTGACTTAATATTTTATAACCCGGCTTGATCGTAAATTTTTTTACTTTGTTTATTTAAGACATAATATGATAATTTGGAGTTTTAACAGAGATTATCATATGTAAAATAATGAAAAAGAATAAATAAATAAGATTTTAGTATAATGCTTTCGGTAGAGAGAACAAGAAGTTGCAGTTGCAAATGAAGAATAAAGTAGAGTTATAAGTACAGTAAAGTGATGGAATAATATCATAGTTTAACCCGTAAACGGTCCAAGCAGATCTACGTTCACGTGTAGTGCTACAAAAGTAGATCTAAGTTTTTTTACATATTTTCAAATATAACAAAAAAAAAAGTAGATCAGAGTTTTTTTTTCACATTTTCAAATGTAGAAAAACAAAAAGATCTACTTTTTTTACATACTTTCAAATGTTGAAAAAACATATATACGTTTGGACCGTTTACGGGTTAAAAGAGGAGATTGTAAATGCAAAAACAGTTGGAGGGTTTAGTACAGTGGACCCTCAGCTAACGATATTAATCCGTTCCTGAAAGCTCATCATTTGCTGAAATTTTCGTTAGCTGAATTAATTTTCCCCATAAGAAATAATGGAAATCAAATTAATCCGTGCAAGACACCCCAAAGTATGAAAAAAAAAAAAAATTTACCACATGAAATATTAATTTTAATACACACAAACTGACACTTACCTTTATTGAAGATCTGGTGATGATTGATGGGATGGGAGGAGAGGAAAGTGTGGAAGTTGTTAATGTTTAGAAGGGGAATCCTCTTCCATTAGGACTTGAGGTATCAAGTCCTTTTCTGGGGTTACTTCCCTTCTTCTTTTAATGCCACTAGGACCAGCTTGAGAGTCACTGGACCTCTGTTGCACAACATATCTGTCAATAGAGCTCTGTACCTCCCATTCCTTTATGATTTGTCTAAAGTGGTTCACAACATTGTCATTGTAATAGTCACCAGCACAGCTTGCAATAGCTGTGTGAGGGTGATTTTCATCCATAAAGGTTTGCACTTCAAGCCACTTTACACACATTTCCTTAATCTCTTTCTTCATATCCATAGTAATTCTCACCCTTTTTCCTGAAGGGTTGGCACTAGAGGCTTTCTTGGGGCCCATGGTGACTTATTTTGCAGGTACAATCACTAAAAACGCTGTGATAATATGAAATGTTCCGATTGTATGCGTGGATGCGACCGCACTGGCTGGCTTGTAAACACTGGCACCCACCCACGCGTCTCGAATAAATCGCGTAGGGTGAGTTTTTTAGCGTTAGCTGAGGCAAAATTTTTGTGTTAAAATGTATCGTTAGCTGGATTTAACGTTAGGTGATGTCATTGTTAGCTGAGGGTCCACTGTACTTATTTTTTATTATAATAATGATAATAAGACAATAGGAAATTTTGTAAAATAGGATGAATTAATTGCTGAAGCTATGCCCCATGAAACAGCACTGATCTTTTAGTTACAAATAGGTAATTACAATAGACATTTATAGGATGTTTTCCTTGTTTTTATTATGCCAAGCTGTGTGACCCTTGTGGGTTTAGAGCTTATCTTTGATTGTAATAATTATACAGCTATAACGAGAATAGATACAATAATTATTTGCAAAATGCAACATTTATAATTGTTAGAATAATAACAGCAAACAAGAAAATTTTCGAAAGCAAACTTAGTTAAATTTCTGTTAAAATATATACACCTACCATCCGACTTACGACCTGCTCGACATATGACCACTCGACTTACAACCATGTTTTTTATGCCAAATTTCTGGGAAATAAACAACTGTTGGTGTTGTACACAGTGTTTATCCTAAACCTTACGGTATAAAATACATTACTAACAGCATAAAAAGTAAAGGAAAAAATGAAATACCAAAATAAAACAATAAAATAATATCATTACAAAAGTGCAATGTTGATATTCAGTAGTAAGGTTCGACTTACGTTCATTTTGACTTACAACTGGTTGGTCGGAACCAAGCTTGGTCGTAAGTTGGATGGTACCTGTATGTGGATTTTACTGTAGAAGGCAGGAGAGTGTAGATAAGAAATAAACATGTATATTTTACCTATTTACTAATAAAGGACCCCTCAAGGAAGGTTCCTTGATGTTGGTGAGGGGCTCTTGATTTAGGGAATTGGATCTGTGCTCCAGTTCCCCAAATTAAGCCTGAATGCCTTCCACATCCCCCCCCCCCCCAGGCGCTGTATAATCCTCCGGGTTTAGCACTTCCCCCTTGATTGTAATAATAATACTAATAAAGGAGAAGGCAGTTAGGGTAAGATATAAACAACTGTTGGGAGGAAGATGGGCCAAGCAGCGAGGTTGAAAAGGTTGATTTAAGACTGTAGTGTTAGTGTTCAGCAGAAGTGTGTGGTTACAAGAAAGTGGGTGTGAGAGGGAAGAAAAGTGATGGGTGGAATGATGATGTAAGTGAGAAAAAGTTAGCTTATGAGAGGTTTTTACAAAGTAGAGGTGATGCATTTGAGGAGTCTGTGGAGACAGAGAATGTTATCCATGGAAACAAAGAGGGGAATGTATAAGAGTATAGTTATACTTTTATATGGGTGTGAAGCATGGGTGGTGAATGTTGCAACAAGGAGAAGTCTGGAGGCAGTGAAGATGTGGGAGAAGTCTGAGGGCAGTGTGCAGTGTGAATATAATGCAGAGATCCATAGTTTAGAAATTAGGAGGAGGTGCACTGTTACTAAAAGTATTATCCAGAGGGCTGAGGAGGGATTGTTGAGGTGGTTCAGACATTTAGAGAGAATGGAACAAAATAGAATGACTTGGAGAGCATGTAAATCTGTAGTGCAAGGTGGGCAGGGTAGGGATCATCCTAGGAAAGGTTGGAAAGAGGAGGCTTTGTGTGCGAGGGGCTTGGACTTCCAGCAAGCATGGGTGGGTGTGTTAGATAGAAGCAAGTGGAGACGAATGGTTTTTATGACTTGACATGCTGTTGGAGTGTGAACAGGGTAACATATATGAAAGGATTCGGGGAAACTGGCAAGCTGGACTTTAGTCCTGGAGATGGAAAGTACAGTCTCTGTGCTCTGAAGGAGGAGTGTTGATGTTGCAGTTTTTTAACTGTAGTTTAAGCGTGCTTCTAGCAAGACAGTGATGGAGTAAATGATGATAGAAGTGTTTCTTTTTTTTTCAGGTCACCCTACCTTGGTAGGAAATAGCCAGTGTGTTACTAACAAAATGAAAAACAAATGTAATTTAGCAGAAATTTCTTTGTGTATTATACAGTATAGTTTTAATGTAATTTTGGATTGATTAATACCATATTTTATGTAACTGTAAAGTGTGATGGCTTAAGAACATGGAAATAATAATTATAAAGATGTAAGTCATGACTGAAAACTATTTAGTATATGTGTATTGTGAACATCAAAACAGTATACAATACCTATAGGTCAGTGAAATGTTTTAGATAAAGATGCCTAACTGTTGCCTATGTGTCTTACCAGTATATATTGTACATAAGTAATAAGAATTAACTCTCAGTCAATAAACTTGGAAAAGATTATATGTTTTTTTCTCTTAATAATAAATATCCTCATAACTATAATTTCTAATAGTGGATTATTTGCTGGAGGTGAGAGTAATAATATTGAAACTGAGGAAGGGGCAGGAATATTACAGTGGAGTCACCTGAGCTGTAATTCAGTGCACCTCTGACAAGACACTGATGGAGTGAATGATGGTGAAAGTGTTTCTTTTTTTTCCAGGTCACCCTACCTCGATGGAAGATGGCTGGTGTGTTAAAAAAAAAATTATGGATTCCACCTCTACCACTTTGCTGTCAAGGTCATTTCAGTTCCTTTCCCTTCTAAGGCTAAAGAAGTGTTTACTAAAATCATTTTAACTCGTCTGTGTTTTGAACTTCAAGTTGTTCTCTGGTGTAACCCAGAGCAGTCAGCCAGGAGGTGGGAAGTGCAGTTCCCGCATCCTGAACGATGTGTAGAAATGTTTGCAGTTTGGCAACCAAGCCTCATTTTCCAATGTTAACTTTCAAAGCTATAGTGTTAATGGAAACACAGAGATTAATGCAGTGTAATCAGATATTTTGGTGACAACATTTTGCTTACACAGTGGGTTTGTACATGACACAAACAGAGTAACCTGGAAATGGGAAGTACAATGCTTGCACCTTAAAGGAGGGGGTTTAGGATATTGGTAGTTTGAAGGGACGTCTAAACATGTCATATCTGAGCGCCTCTGCAAAGACAGTGATTATGCATGAATGATCAATGAAGGTGTTGAATGATGATGGAAGTTTTTTTCTTTCTTTTTTGGTTTTTCTTTCTTATTGGGTCATCCTGCCTCTGTGGGAAATGGCCAACTTGTTAAAAAAAAAATATCTATATAAATATATGTGACCTAGGTAGTAGGTTGGTAGGCAGCAGCCGCCCAGGGAGGTACTACCATCCTGCCAAGTGAGTGTAAAACGAAAGCCTGTAATTGTTTTACATGATGGTAGGATTGCTGGTGTCTTTTGTCTGTCTCATAAACATGCAAGATTTCAGGTATGTCTTGCTACTTCTACTTACACTTAGGTCACACTACACATACATGTACAAGCATATATATACACACCCCTCTGGGTTTTCTTCTATTTTCTTTCAAGTTCTTGTTCTTATTTCCTCTTACCTCCATGGGGAAGTGGAACAGAATTCTTCCTCCGTAAACCATGCATGTTGTAAGAGGCGACTAAAATGCCGGGAGCAAGGGGCTAGTAACCTCTTCTCCTGTATATATTACTAAATGTAAAAGGAGAAACTTTCGTTTTTCCTTTTGGGCCACCCCACCTCGGTGGGATACGGCCGGTGTGTTGAAAGAAAGAAGAATATATTATATATATATATATATATATATATTATATATATATATATATATATATATATATATAATATATATATATATATATATATATATATGCAGTAGGACCCCTGTATCCATAGGAATATGTTCCAAGGACCTACCGCGGATAGTACCTATTATAAAGTTTAATTGCTAAATTATGAACAATTATCACCTTTTCACTGATGGGAAGCACTTGATGACTTCTCTTAAGTTTTGAAGAGCTGCCAGCTTCTCTACTGCACTTTACGGTCATTATTATGCAAAATTAAGTGGCATTCCAAGCACTTTCATGATTTGTCACTTAGTTATGATTGTAGGGGTTGAGTATTGGCTCCTGGCTACTTCCAGGTTCACTCCTGGATGTGTGATATGTCATACCTATTCTTAAAACTATGTCTGGATCCTGCCTCTACCACTGCACTCGAAAGATCATTCCAGTTCCTTCCCATTCTATGGCTAAAGAAGTATTTCCTAACATCATTTTGACTCATCAGTTTTGCCTTATCCATTCTATAAATTCTTCTCGGTATCTTGTATGTTGTTATCATGTCACTCCAGGTCCTGTGTGCATGTGTACTCACTTACATGTGGTTTCAGGGGTCGATTCACAGCTCCTGGCCATGCCTATTCACTGGTCATTACTAGGTCCACTCTCCCCTGGTTCCAAGAGCTTTATCGTTGTCTTCTTAAAGCTGTGAGACAGAGAGAGATATAGATTAATATTGATTGAGTTTTTAATTAACTTCAGTGTACATTTATATGTCTTGTTCTAATTGACTTTATTCCAATGTTAATTATTATTCACAAAATAACTTACAAATGATCAGTTATTACAATGGTTAGTGTAAGTACATTATTCAATATTCAGGTTAGGTTAGGTAAGGCAGTTAGGTTACGTAAGGTAAGGTTAAGCTAGATTAGGTTAGGTTAGGTTAGCTTTGTCAGGAAACAGGACAAGTGCTTCCTGATGCAGGTCTTGGTCATATGATGACCCACAGCTGGAGCTTTTGGTAATCTGACTGAGGCCTTCCACTGGCTCACCCCTTAAAAAATTAAGGTTATATTTATAACTCTTTATATCTATATACACCATAACATGATAATTTTGATCCAAAACTTGAATACTTCCATCAGAACTAAAGTTTACAATATATTAAGTATTTTTCCTCATAGTGTGACTTCTAGCAGGAGTTAAGTATCTTGCTCATGGATATATTAGCAAGTTAGTTAGTAAGTAAGTTTATTCAGGATTGTAGATGAAAGGTTCACAGAACCGACACGTTGATAAATTAGACACATGTGCAACTCTTGGGTAACTTTATTAAGGAAACGTTTCACCACACAGTGGCTTCATCAGTCCATACACAGGAGAAACTCGAAGAACAGGAGGAGAATGAGGTAATCAGTCCCTCAACCTTGAGTCGATGTGGTCAGTTCATCAATCTAAAATAGAATATGGCATATGAGCCGAGAAGCAGCAGTTGTAGGTGGTGTCACATTTGCCCAATGTGGAAGTAGGTCGTGCCCAAGGGTTAGGCAAGTGAAGAATTCCCAAGTATTAAGATCCCAAGAAGTTGCAGTGTCTGACAGGATTGTAGATGAATGGTTCATAGAACCGACACTTTGATAAATTAGACACAAGTGCAACTCTTGGGTATCTTTATTAAGAAAACGTTTTGCCACACATTGGCTTCATCAGTCCATACACAGGAGAAACTTGAAGAACAAGAGTAGAATGAGGTAATCAGTCCCACATCGACTCAAGGTTGAGGGACTGATTACCTCATTCTCCTCCTGTTCTTCAAGTTTCTCCTGTGTATGGACTGATGAAGCCACTGTGTGGCGAAACGTTTCCTTAATAAAGATACCCAAGAGTTGCACTTGTGTCTAATTTATCAAGTTTATTCAGGTATACACAGTTACATAGATTATCATACATAGCAGCATATGTGTAGAGAACCTGGGATAACCCAAAAAAAAAAAGTCAAAGTGACTTATTTCCATTGGGGTCCTTTGTAGTTTGTTGTAAGTAAATAAGTCAACTTATTCAGGTACTTTTAATTAAGATTTAATTAAATTATGAGATATTACAAGGACCCCAATGGAAATAAGCTGCTGATTTTGGGGGGTTATTCTGGTGGATAATTTACACATATGTATTATAATTGTACTTATATATACCTGTGCCTAAATAAACTTACAGGTACCCATAAGTGCAATTATCATACATGTCTGAATTACCCTCCAGGACAACCCAGAAAAGTAAGACAAAGTAATATCTTATTTTAACCTTAAAGTAGTAGTAGTAATAATAGTAGTAGTAATAGTAGTAGTAATAGTAGTAGTAGTAGTAGTAGTAATAGTAGTAGTAGTAATAGTAGTAGTAGTAGTAGTAGTAATAGTAGTAGTAATAGTAGTAGTAGTAATAGTAGTAGTAGTAATAGTAATAGTAGTAGTAATAGTAGTAGTAATAGTAGTAGTAGTAGTAATAGTAATAGTAGTAGTAATAGTAGTAGTAGTAGTAGTAATAGTAGTAGTAGTAGTAATAGTAGTAATAGTAGTAGTAGTAATAATAATAGTAATAGTAGTAATAGTAGTAGTAATAGTAGTAGTAGTAATAATAATAGTAATAGTAGTATTAATAGTAGTAGTAGTAGTAATAGTAGTAGTAATAGTAGTGGTAGTAATAGTAGTAGTAGTAGTAGTAATAATAGTAGTAATAGTAGTAGCAGTAGTGATAGTAGTAGTAGCAGTAGTGATAGTAGTAGTAATAGTAGTAGTAGTAGTAATAGTAGTAGTAGTAATAGTAGTAGTAATAGTAATAGTAGTAGTAATAGTAGTAATAGTAGTAGTAGTAATAGTAGTAGTAATAGTAGTAGTAGTAATAGTAATAGTAGTAATAGTAGTAGTAGCAATATAGTAGTAGTAGTAGTAGTAATAGTAGTAGTAGTAATAGTAGTAGTAATAGTAGTAATAGTAGTAGTAGTAGTAATAGTAATAGTAGTAATAGTAGTAGTAGTAATAGTAGTAGTAATAGTAGTAGTAATAGTAGTAATAGTAGTAGTAGTGTAGTAATAGTAGTAATAGTAGTAGTAGTGTAGTAATAGTAGTAATAGTAGTAGTAGTAGTAGTGTAGTAATAGTAATAGTAGTAGTAGTAGTGTAGTAATAGTAGTAATAGTAGTGGTAGTAGTAGTAGTGTAGTAATAGTAATAGTAGTAGTAGTAATAGTAGTAGTAATAGTAGTAGTAGTAGTAATAGTGTAGTAATAGTAGTAATAGTAGTAGTAGTAGTGTAGTAATAGTAATAGTAGTAGTAGTAATAGTAGTAGTAATGTATAGTAGTAGTATGTAGTAAGTATAAAGTAGTGTAGTATGTAGTAATAGTAATAGTAGTAGTAGTAATAGTAGTAGTAGTAACAGTAGTAGTAATAGTAGTAGTAATAGTAGTAATAGTAGTAGTAGTAGTGTAGTAATAGTAGTAATAGTAGTAGTAGTAGTGTAGTAATAGTAGTAATAGTAGTAGTAGTAGTAGTGTAGTAATAGTAATAGTAGTAGTAGTAATAGTAGTAATAGTAGTAGTAGTAGTGTAGTAATAGTAGTAGTAGTAGTAGTGTAGTAATAGTAATAGTAGTAGTAGTAATAGTAGTAGTAATAGTAGTAGTAGTAGTAGTAGTAGTAGTAGTAGTGTAGTAATAGTAGTAATAGTAGTAGTAGTAGTGTAGTAATAGTAATAGTAGTAGTAGTAATAGTAGTAGTAATAGTAGTAGTAGTAGTAGTGTAGTAATAGTAGTAATAGTAGTAGTAGTAGTAGTGTAGTAATAGTAGTAATAGTAATAGTAGTAGTAATAGTAGTAGTAGTAATAGTAGTAGTAATAGTAGTAGTAATAATAGTAGTAGGAGGAGGAGGAAGTTATTCTTACCGCAGTAATAAAATAATTTATTTAGGTACAAGTCCACATAAATAATGGAAATAAGTCACGTGATAATTTTTGGATTATCTTAGATAATTTATACTATATATGATAACTATAATTATATATATCTATGTCTAAACATATCATTTACTTAGTAACATATAAAATATCCTCTATGGTAACTCAAAATCAAAGTCAAAAGTGACTAATATCCATTATAATCGTTATAATACATTAATACCCATAAACTAACATATCTAACAATTATATCATGTTAAAATATATATGAAAAAATAATCCCAAAGTCATTATAACGATAATAAATATTATTAAAATGAATAATATAATGAGTAATGGCAATATATGAGGGAGTGAGGGAGACCAACACTCAGTCTGCCCTTAAACCTCCAACACTGTGTTCTTATCTCGGTTTTTCCTGGTTTATTCGCATTAATTTACTCATTATTGAGTATTTGTGTGTCATTGTACTTACAAGAAACATTGTATATATGAGTGGTGTTGTCTGGATAATGATAACCCGGATAATTGATGGTTTATGTTAAGTTAACCAAGTTGATGCCCACTCACTCAGGGTATGTTGACTTATTTTGTTCTTTATCAGCTTATTAACTCGTATTTATACCATTTTGGGCTTATTTTAACATTGTGAGGAAGTGTAGTAACTTGGGGGTAACTTAAGTTGTTCGGGGAACAAACTTTACGGGAACTTAAGTAGGTAAGTTGTGTTGAGGAGACAATGTCTGCCACCACAGTTGTTGTCTGCCACCACAGTTGTTGTCTGCCACCACAGTTGTTGTCTGCCACCACAGTTGTTGTCTGCCACCACAGTTGTTGTCTGCCACCACAGTTGTTGTCTGCCACCACAGTTGTTGTCTGCCACCACAGTTGTTGTCTGCCACCACAGATGTCTGCCACCACAGATGTTGTCTGCCACCACATGTCTGCCACCACAGACGTTGTCTGCCACCACAGATGTCTGCCACCACAGATGTCTGCCACCACAGATGTCTGCCACCACAGATGTCTGCCACCACAGATGTTGTCTGCCACCACAGATGTTGTCTGTCACCACAGATGTCTGTCACCACAGATGTTGTCTGTCACCACAGATGTTGTCTGTCACCACAGATGTTGTCTGTCACCACAGATGTTGTCTGTCACCACAGATGTTGTCTGTCACCACAGATGTTGTCTGTCACCACAGATGTTGTCTGCCACCACAGATGTTGTCTGCCACCACAGATGTTGTCTGCCACCACAGATGTCTGCCACCACAGATGTTGTCTGCCACCACAGATGTTGTCTGTCACCACAGATGTTGTCTGACACCACAGATGTTGTCTGTCACCACATGTCTGTCACCACAGATGTTGTCTGCCACCACAGATGTTGTCTGCCACCACAGATGTTGTCTGTCACCACAGATGTTGTCTGTCACCACAGATGTCTGCCACCACAGATGTTATCTGTTATGATGTTCAATGAGGACAAATTCCAACTACTCCGTTATGGAAAACTGGAGGAGATAATAACTAGAACAGAGTATACTACTGACTCCGGCCATACAATAGAGCGGAAAAATAATGTAAGGGACCTGGGAGTAGTAATGTCTGAGGATCTCACTTTCGAGGATCACAACAGTGCCACGATCGCACGTGCAAAGAAAATGATAGGATGGATAATGAGAACTTTCAAAACGAGAGATGCCAAGCCCATGATGATCCTTTTCAAATCGCTTGTTCTCTCTAGACTGGAATACTGCTGTACATTAACATCTACATTCAAAGCAGGTGAAATCGCAGATCTAGAGAGTGTACAGAGATCCTTTACTGCACGTATAAGTTCTGTCAAGCACCTTAACTACTGGGAACGCTTGGAAGCACTTGACTTGTACTCGTTGGAACGCAGGAGGGAGAGATATATCATAATCTACACTTGGAAAATCTTGGAAGGAATGATCCCAAATCTGCACACAGAAATCACTCCCTACGAAAGTAAAAGACTGGGCAGGCGATGCAAAATGCCCCCAATAAAAAGTAGGGGCGCCATTGGTACACTAAGAGAAAACACCATAAGTGTCCGGGGCCCAAAACTGTTCAACAGCCTCCCATCAAGCATTAGGGGAATTGCCAATAACCCCCTGGCTGCCTTCAAGAGAGAGCTGGACAGATACCTAAAGTCAGTGCTGGATCAGCCGGGCTGTGGCTCGTACGTTGGACTGCGTGCGGCCAGCAGTAACAGCCTAGTTGATCAGGCCCTGATCCATCGGGAGGCCTGGTCATGGACCGGGCCGCGGGGGCGTTGATCCCCGGAATAACCTCCAGGTAACCACAGAGTCTGTCAGTAGTATATTGCAAGTGTTGTGTGTGTCCACCAGTATATGAGAGGTGTTGTGTGTATCCTTCCAGTATATGACAGGTGTTGTGTGTATCCCACCAGTATATGACAGGTGTTGTGTGTATCCTACCATTCATCACATCCTACCAGTATATGACAGGTGTTGTGTGTATCCCAGCAGTATATGACAGGTGTTGTGTGTATCCCACCAGTGTATGACAGGTGTTTTGTGTATCCCAGCAGTACATGACAGGTGTTGTGTGTATCCCACCAGTATATGACAGGTGTTGTGTGTATCCCAGCAGAACCCAAGCTGCAACACCTGCACATTAACATACATAATCTATCATAATCAGCTGTCCTCTCAACTCTATCTATCTGATCTAACAATTTTATATAATAATTATAACGAATCTGGCTAAAATGGTTATTTTATCGGATAAAACCGTACTATCACCATAGTCCTGATACTTGTATGTAGTCACCATAGTCCTGATACGTGTATGTAGTCACCATAGTCCTGATACATGTATGTAGTCACCATAGTCCCTGATACTGTATGTAGTCACCATAGTCCTGATACATGTATGTAGTCACCATAGTCCTGATACTTGTATGTAGTCACCATAGTCCTGATACTTGTATGTAGTCACCATAGTCCTGATACTTGTATGTAGTCACCATAGTCCTGATACATGTATGTAGTCACCATAGTCCTGATACTTGTATGTAGTCACCATAGTCCTGATACTTGTATGTAGTCACCATAGTCCTGATGCATGTATATAGTCACCATAGTCTTGATACTTGTATGTAGTCACCATAGTCCTGATACATGTATGTAGTCACCATAGTCCTGATACTTGTATGTAGTCACCATAGTCCTGTTACATGGTAGTCACCATAGTCCTGATACATGCATGTAGTCACCATAGTCCTGATACATGCATGTAGTCACCATAGTCCTGATACTTGTATGTAGTCACCATAGTCCTGATACTTGTATGTAGTCACCATAGTCCTGACACTTCCTGTATGTAGTCACCATAGTCCTGACACTTCCTGGATGCAGTCACCATAGTCCTGACACTTCCTGTATGTAGTCACCATAGTCTTGACACTTCCTGTATGTAGTCACCATAGTCCTGACACCATCGTATTCATACTGTCAGCCCCCCACCCTCCGGCCTAGTCCTAGACTAGGCCTAACAGACTCCCTGATGAGTCAGACTCATGCGCTAGAACTCGGCTGATCATGAAGTAACTTAAGATACTTATATAGATAGATATACAAAACATTTCGTAACAGATCCGTCAAGTGAGGATCGCTGACGCTGGTCAGAGGATAATTGGAAAGTTTTGTCAGGAGATTCCAAGTTGGACCCTGATATTTGTTTCTTTTTCCCTTGTGTGGGTTATTTGTGTATCATATTGAATTGTGCCGTGCTGGGAGCTGTGATTCAACCCCTGCAAACACGGTTAGACGAGTACATTCCCAGGGATGTGTCTACCATGTTACCCCCACCCGCATCCAACAACCCCAACCCTCTCACCCACATCATCACCCAACATCCTATTCATTCTTCTCTCCCCACCTTCATGTCTCCCTCTTATCGCCCCTTCCTTCCAATAAAGATTAAAATAGCAACGGGTTCGAGTCAAAATAAAAAGTGCCGGGACGAATCCTGGGCAAAGATTCTTGTATGTTATATACCTTTGAAGAGTTTCCAGAGTTTCTCTACTCTCTGAGCCCGGCCATGGGCCAGGCTCGTCTAGTGCATGCCTGGTCAACCAAGCTGTTGCTGCTGGAGGCCTGCTGCCCCACATATCGCCACAAGTACAAAAAATATACATAGTGTAAATTACCTAGAAACATCTAAAAATATCAGTGACTGTCCATTGGGATCCTTATTTAGCAAAACACTGACAAGTCTGGTTGGTTTTCCATGTATATATTCCTTGAAAGTTGATAATAATGTTAATGATTGTGGTAATTATGAAGGATAAGTCTGCTGGGGCACCATCTGGAACAAGACCAGGACTGGAACAAGACCAGGACTGGAACAAGACCAGGACTGGAACAAGACCAGGACTGGAACAAGACCAGGACTGGAACAAGACCAGGACTGGAACAAGACCAGGACTGGAACAAGACCAGGAACTGGAACAAGACCAGACTGGAACAAGACCAGGGCTGGAACAAGACCAGGACTGGAACAAGACCAGGACTGGAACAAGACCAGGACTAGAACAAGACCAGGACTGGAACAAGACCAGGACTGGAACAAGACCAGGACTGGAACAAGACCAGGACTGGAACAAGACCAGGACTGGAACAAGACCAGGACTGGAACAAGACCAGTGAACCTACAACAACAAGGATACGTCGTTATGACTCACTATATCGTAATGACACGATTGCAAACAAACCATACCACGGGTGGTGATAGAACCCACGGCTTTGAGGGGAGGCCTGGTCGTGGACCGGGCCGCGGGGGCGTTGATCCCCGAAATAACCTCCAGGTAGACTCCAGGTAGACGAGCTAGAGTTCGTCACGGCCACGCTAGCTGGAGATTCCTCTGTAAAAACTTTCATTTGTGGTCACAGTGGTGGCCTATGCCAACCTTCCTATGGTGTATAAATATACCTAGTTGGATGAATCTTATTGTGGCTAGCTGGTCCAGTGGCTAGCGCGTCGGTCTGGAGTTTTGAGACTCTGACCGCAGGTTCTATCCCCGCCCATGGTATGGTTTGATACGCCGATATTGAATCAGCAACTCTCCTCTGGAGTCATATTAGACCGGCATCTATCCGACAGAACGCTAAGAAACAGAATTTTTGTGATAGTAAGTAACTGGAATGGTAAAACAGATAGGAGAGAGAACTTAGTAGAGTTCAGAGTATTACAAGGAAAATATTATCTGTAAGCTTCGAGAGAACAGAGACGTAATGTTGATCACGTAAGAGAAATAACAGATGTGTATAAACTTAAGTGATTCTGGTGATCACAAAAATAACAGTAAGATAGATGTGAATAAACATAAAGGAACACTGGAAGCTGCAGAGAGGAACACACCCGGACATAGGTTATGTTACAAGGGGTGAGAGGGGGGGATGTTACTCCATGGGGGAGGGGGTATGTCCATTCCTGGGGGAGGGGAGGAAGAGGAGGGTCTCTTTACACTCTGTGAATAATGTTCTTCTCCTCTACACCCTCTTTCCCTAGCCATTCAC